CTATAGCTAATCTAAGCTAATCTTATTTATAGTTTATCTATTTTTACTAAAGTAGATATACTATTAAAGTAAGAATTAGCTATTAGTATACTAAGAGAAGAGGTAATATTTGCTTTTAATAATAACGTATAAAGGTAATACTTAGCTATTTATATATATGCCTTAAATAATAGAAACTTATTTGTAATTACTAGGCTACTTTATATAAGGCTTTTTTTTATAGTTAGAAGTTATAATAACTTTTATATGTAATAGTATTCTTATTAAAAAGCTTATCTTATTAAAATTATAAATATTATTATTATAAATTCTATACTTTATAACTATATTTTATATAAGAGTAAACTAGGCTTATATAATTATAAGATCCTTAGCTAATACCCTCTAATAGTTAATTCTATATTAAAAACATGTCTTTAGTTATAGTTAGTGTTATATAAAGTTCTTTGCTTATCAAGGTTTAATACGTGTTATATTATATTTGTTAAAGAGGTAATTAGCTATATCTTATATATTATTAAGTCATAATAGAAATCCTTAATCGATTAGGTTAATAACTTATTTAAGAATCACTATTTCTTTTAGCTTAGTTATTTTTATTAATTTTAATTATATTTCTTGTTATAGTAGTTGTTTAACGCGTTAGTTACAAAGTGTTATTCTTAGGACGTTATAGATAAAAGTAGCCATCTATATAAATAATTTTATGTCTTTTTTAATAGCTTAGAGTGTAAAGAGAATATAGCTTTTATTTAAAGTAAAACTTATTGTTATACGTAAAGTAAAGCTAAGAGGAAAAGGAAAAGTGTAGAAGGAAAGGGAAGTAGGTAACTTACTATGATAGGCGACTCACTATGTATGTACGTTATCTATAATTTTAATAAGACTAGGTTCTTAATAGAAATACTATTATATATAAAGGTTATTATAATATCTAACTATAAGAAAAGGCCTTATATAAAGTAGCTTAGTAATTAAGAATAGGTTTTTATTATTTAAGGTATAACTATATATAGATAACTAAGTAATATTTCTATATATTATTATAAAAAGTAAACATTACCTCTTCTCTTAGTATACTACTAGCTAATTCTTAGCTATATAATATATTTATTTAAGTAAAAATAAATAAATAATAAATAATATTAGCTTAAATTAGCTATAGTACTTTAATTAATATATAAGGACTTATATAAAAGGTTCTTATTATCTCTTAATCCTTAATAGTTATTATAGCTATAAATTAATTAACTTTAATAAATACTATAAAAATAAAATATTATTATTTTTTATATACCTCTTTATTTATTATAACCTTTAGCCTCTTAATATTAAATATTTAGCTTATTAAAATACTTATATAATAAAAAAAATTTTTATATAAATATAAATTTTATATATTATTAAAAATAACTTTTTTTTTACTTTTAAAGTAGTATTCTTTACTTTAATAAGCAAAAATAATATATAAACTAGTTTTAAATAGGTAAACTTTATACCTTTTAACCTTAAAGTAGTTATTTCTTAGTTAAATTTTAAGCTAAAAACGCTAATACCCTTAACCTTATAGCTAAGTAGCTAAAGCTCTTAGAATATAAAGACATTAACTATAGTACTAAAAGGCATATAAAGTACTACTTCTTTTAAAAAGAAGATCTAAGTATATTAAGGTAATATACTAATACTAATATATAAAGTAATTAACTTCTAGGCTAAAGGTATTAATAAGTTAGCTTATAAGTTTATTATTATTAAGGCTAAGAACTATAAGCTTTATATAGGGATAAAGGTACTAAGTAAACGCTAAAGAGTAAAAAAGATCTAACTATATCTTAGAGGGTTACTTAATACTACTAAAGCAAAAGCACTATAAGTAGAAATAAGTAATATTAATACTAAAAAAGAGAATAACCCTTAAAAAAAGGATTATACAAAAGGTATTAAACTACGTATACAATAATATAGTAATTATAGAAAGTCTAGATATAACACATAAACCTATAAAGTAGTTTAGGATAATAATAAAAAAGAGGGTAATAAGTAATTTTAATTAATTTTATATATTATAGTTTAATTAACTTATGAAAAGGGTAGAAGGGTAAAGGAAGGTAAGCGACTTGCTATAATGGGCGACTCTCTATGCGTGTATATTAGCTAGTTTTTATATACATAATAAGATAAAGTATAAAAAGTAATAGAAGACGCTAATAAAAAAAGATAAAAACTAGACTACTATTTTACCTAATACTTATTTAATATATTTTACCTTTAAAATAATATATTAATAAAAAACAATCAAAAGATGTTAATTAAAGAATTTCTAAATTCCTTTATTATCTATAGTTACACTAATTATATTAACTTTCTATCTAGGCCTCCTAATAGGTTATAAAAAAAAAGAATTAGAGGACTATAGTTTTCTAGGGGCTAGCCTAATTATATAGTTTAAGACCAAACATATCTACTCCACCAGCAGGATAATAACCACGCCCTTTAGAACAAATCCGCCTTTGTCTAAGTTATCTTACCGCATTGTCCACTTCAATAGCTTACTTAACCGGTCAGCCTATGCAATAGGCTAAGGGTACGCTAATATACTTATATTAGTTTACATCCTTGTATATCGTTTACAGACCCTCATAGAGATAGGCAGGGGAACTGGTGGACTGATATCGCTGTATATAGGCCACATAGAGGCTGCAAATTTCAGAGGGGCTACAGATATACCCATGGATTGGCTCTACCCCGCCCTTAGCGAAAATGGGATCAGTTAGCACCTGATGTGATAAACCTCCCATAGAAGCTGTCTGTATATACCGCTTCGTTCGCATTTCAGAGGCATCGTAGCATTATCCAGAGTTCATAGCCAACCACCGACATCTATATTTAATCATCAATAAAGTTTAACCTTCAAATAAGTTGTCTTTATTATCATACGAGCGCCACACCCATATTTATAAATTGCAAGTAGACATGGAAGAGTCCAGCAACGCCATCAGCCAGTTCGACGACCTTCTTGCCTCTTCCTAGTTTCTGTTCGTAGTCTGTAAGTGTACCCGCTCCTTTGGCATATACGTCGTCCCTGTTGGCCTGGATCTCCACGGCAGCCGTCGTGGGGGTGGTTACGTGAGACTTTACTAGTTCTGAATTATACTATGGCAGGCCTTCGCCTCTAGCAGTGTTAAAGATTTACGTCCGCATGTTTACTCGCTATTCACACCAGCAAGGGGGAGATGATAGGTCGCATAGGAATGAGAACGGGGGAATAGGGGGGGACCATCGCGCCTTGGCGGAAGTCTCCCCGGCTCTTGGTAGTGACGTGCAATTCATGTGCACGCCGGGGCAGGGACATTGGGGATTGGATGGGTCTCGATAAGCCATGGACTGCGCTGGGAGGTTGCATTTTGCTTATAGTCCAACAGTGGAGAATACTGAGTAGAGGGCTGGCCAAGCCACGACGTTGGTCGATGTTAGGCTTAACCAATGATGGTAGATGAGATTGTCTGTCACGTTTGGCTGCGATCTACGTGCCGAACGGATCGACAGTGCAGCAGGACGTATGATGGGTGGACGGGACATGCCTAAGCGAGAGCCGGAGCTAAGGCAAGGTGGTTATTCTTGGGCGATGCATGACGCCGACTCAGCTGTCAACCAAAATAAGGCTATCAAGTGGGATAATCAGGTGTTCGTTCGATAGCAAGTTGACTGTTACTGAGATGGCTAGTGACATCAGTCGAATCCATTGAACCGGCGACATCGAGCCCACACGAGCTGGTTACCATCTTGGTCTGTCGGGATGTCATAATAAGAGAAGAAATGCCCCTTCAAAAAAAAAGAGAAGTCTTACTTACCTAGCGGCAAAACTGGACCAAGACCTCTTTTTTACCAATTTCGAAGACGAATTACTCTAAATTAAGCTTCTACCGATCCCCCGCAGGCCCGGTTCCAAGAGATTTGATAGCTCCAATGTCATTCACGGCCGCCGCTCGCCCCCCTCCCTCCCCGGCTCCGTTGTCTCACTCATATTGCCCGGTTTTCCTGCGATCTTGCACCCGTTCGGGGGCCTTGAACCATGGTGGTCCCTGCCATCTTTAAACCTTCGAGGCTGTCAGAGCTCTTGGCATTTCGCAGTCGGTCATAGAGGCATCATTTTCCCGAAGTGGCAGCTCTGCACGATGGGCTTGGGGTCTAGGTTGCAGGGCCTGAGATGTTGCTACTTTAAGACCATTGTGAGTCTGAGCGGAGCTCCTTTCAGTAATCGAGGAAGACCCACAAAGACGCACGCGCATCATCCAGCGAGCGACAAATAGCACTGATAATGCATCCAATTGTGCACGCTCGAGCATAAAAGTGTACCCTGCACTGTTCAAGCGCTTTTACACCAGCCCGCATGTCAAATACATAAGCTGAATAGAAGCATATAGTAATTTGGTTTTTATGACGAATCGCCACTACCAACCAAGGAAACTCCAACTCCAGCCCTTGGGTCCCGTTGCGTGTTCCTGTGATTAATTGGATAGCTGGATCCTGTCATGACTCTCTCATGCTGACATTGCCGATAATAGTTAAGAATTTGCAGGAATACACCAGCGCGTGGGACTTTCAGTTTCACCACGTATTTCGATACGACATTGTGTGTAATGTACAAAGGATATGCAGCATGGGACGTCGAGAGTCGTCCATTTGTCTCTTTGGTGTAGACCTGTTGAACAAAATGCCTGCTATGAATTTCAGAGCCCACTGTGATTCGTAAGTGATGTTTTCAGGTTTTGTTCATCAGAACCTTGACTACCTACCTATCGAATGATGATTGACATCGGGAAAATACATGATTATTTTCATTCACACTATGGCACAAGCCCTTCTCGTTATTTTCATGCTGCCTCTTTAATTGTGATTCATTTATAAATTCTTGAATAAACCCTCCCACTGTAAATGACTCAAATCTGGGGCTGTCCATGTGACCACGCAATTATTCCTCGTCAAACTGACCAATCTATTCAAGCCACGGCCCCCTTAAGAGGCTGGTCCAAACGCCCCTCGTTGACCTTCAGCGCTGGGTTCCGGGAGAAGACAGACAGCACGGACAGGTACGCGTTGGCAATATACTGCGCGTCCTCGGGATTGTACAGCGCACTTTGCAATTTGAATGTGATGAGCGGCGTCTTGCTCGGGTCGTCCGATATCTCGAGCACCACGTCGTACGGCGTGCGTTCACGCGACGCCTGCACCTCGGTGATTTTGGCCTCGCCGATGGCGCCGCTCTCCGCCTGGCCCTGCCGGTAGTCGAACACGGCCTGGAACAGCGGTGCCGCTGCCTCCGCACCCGCCACTGCTCGTGGCTGGGGCGGGAGCAAATCCAAACGCTCGAGCAGGACGCTGTACGGCACCTGGGAGTGCTGCAGCGCAGCCCGCATGTGCTCTTTGGCCGCCACGAGCTCATCCCCAAAGGTGTCGCCCGCTGAGTAGGCCATGCGTAGGGGAAGCAGGTTGGCGAAGTAGCCCATCGTTGCCACGTCCTGCAGGCTGGGCCGGTTCGTGTCGGCGACGCCGACGGCAACGTCGGTGGTGCCGGTCAGCCGGGCGAGGAGCACGTGGAAGGCAGTCAGGTAGAAGTGCAGAGGGCTGGCCTTGTGCTTGCGGCTGCGCTCCTTGACGCGGATGGCGATCATCGGGTTCAGCCGGACGCTGAATGCGTGCTGGCTCCACGCGCCGCCCGCAACCGTAGTGGCGGCGGTGGTGCGCGGCTGGGCCTTGGGTAGGTCCATGACGGGCAAGACGACGGCGAGCGTCTTGTGAAGAGACGTCCAGAAGGAAATGTCTTCGTCCATGCGGCCATTCTCGAAGTCTTGTCGCTGTCGGGCCGCGAAGTCTGGGTACTGTTGCGCCGGGGGCGGAAGCGTGACGCCAGCGTACAGCTGTCCGATTTCGTTAAAGAGGTTCTCAGTGGTTTGGCCGTCTCCAACGAAGCGACTATAGCCGAGGACCAGCAGGTGGTGGTTGGGCGACCATTGGAAGGCGACGAGCTTCATCGTGTCTCCTGCGGCAAGGTCGTAGCTGTGGGCTTCCAACCGCTTGAAGCCTTGCAGAGCAGCTTCTCGATCTACGACCGGGACCTCTTGCAATCGGACCAGCGGCGAGGGCGACGACATGACGGCCTGGATAGCTCCATCTTTGGCGTCATAGAACTTTGTGCGGAAGATGTCGTGTCGGCGCAACATGATGTTCACGGCCCTAGATAGTCGTGTCAAGTCGGTGGGACCTTCCATGAACATGCCGATGGTGGAGTTGAAGATGGTCGGGTCGTCAGCCTGCTGCTGGAGCGTCCATGAGTACTCTTGGGCAAGAGACAGCTTCTCTTGTCGGACAACCACAGATTCTTTTCTATCTTCTTCCACGTCTTCTGGCTCTGTCAGGGGTGTCTCCGTGCCAGATTCCACTTCTGCAGAGGTATCGGACTTGAAGGCGTTGCCCGAGGGTCCGGACGCGTCGTCATCGCTGCTTGAGCCGGACTGAACTAGAGGGATGGCTGAGGGGGACAATCTTTCTGCCGCCTCTGTGGCCAAGTCCATGATGGATGCGCCGCCAAGGACCTTTAGCAACGGGAGATCGAGGTTGAGCTGCTTAGAGAACCTACAAGCCGGAAGATTAGTCTTATCCTGGCACAAGCCGAATAATTCTCGGACAGAACAAACGTACCATGTCCCAATCGTGACTGCTCCGAGAGAGTCAACACCTTGATCTATCAAAGGGCTCGATATGTCAACGACATCCTCCGGAGCAATCTGCAAGGTGCTACGAAGCTTCGTACATAGCCCGTCGATGACAATCTCGCGGACCTCATCTGTGGACTCGGCCATCATCAGTCGTTCCTTGATACTGCTACCCGAGGCTGCCGCATCTTCGGTTTTGTTCTTGTGGTCCTGGAGCATGTAGTACCCGAATCGCGGGTCATCAAAGAAGGGAATGCGTTCCCGATAGACGGGGTCGATGAACGGCACTCCCGTAATGACTTCGATGTCCTGGTCCTTAGGCGCGTCAGGCAGCCCAGCGACGACCGCTTCGGCAAAGAGTGCATGTAGCTCATCCTCTGAAACGGTGTCGAACAAGAAGCGGACGGCGTCAAATTCCTCTTCGCGGCCGGCGCGGGTGACGTAACCGACGCCGTACACGGCACCAATGTCGATTGTTGATCCCTAAAATTTATGTCGTGTCAGAAAATATTCAGGCCAACCTTGAAAAACACTGGTAAACTCACCGCCAACCCTCGCGCCCGTCGCTGCTGGGCTAGACCATGCATATAAGAGTTCGCAGCGCTGTACGCGCTCTGACCGGGGTTGCCCAAAACCGCGACAACGGACGAAAACATGACAAAGAAGTCCAGCGGAGCCTCCGCCAGGGCCTCGTTGAGAATGCGGGCTCCCGTCACCTTCGGCGCTGCCACCATTTCCATCATCTCCAGATCCATGTTCTTGAACAGAATATCCTGGAGCACCAGCGGTCCGAAAGCAAGACCGCCAATGGCAGGCATGCCCGACGCGGTGATCTTGGCGAGCCCGGCGTCCACGGACGGTTTGTCTGAGACGTCCATGGGAAGCACCAGCACATTACCTCCAATGTCCTCTGTCTCACTCAGCCAACGCGCGTCGACTTGCGGGTTGCGGCTGGAGAGGACAACATGGCGCGCGCCATGCCTGATCATCCAGCGGGCGAGGGATCTGCCGAGGTCGCCAGCGAGACCCACGAGGATGTACGTCTTTGTTGACACGAAAAGGTTCTTGGAGTCGATGGGCTTAATCCGCGCGCTGATAGTTTGGCTAGCCTGCCAGTTAATCACCGTCGACATGTCGCAAGGGCCCTTAGAAGCAGTCAACTCATCTGCTGAGATTACAGATGTAGCGGCTGAAGTGGGAATGGCCGCAGTCACTGCTCGTTCAACAAGCTGCCTGTGGTCATTCGTGTCTGGGGCGGAGATAGTTTGTGTCGCCAGATCTTGGGCAAGATGCTCGGCTCGGTATACTGAGCATGTTGACGGGAGGCAAGCAGCAAGGCGGCGGCCAAGGCCAAAGAGACTCTGGTCGGCTGAAAAGTCATACAAAGCCGATAATTCAGGAGTTATCGCTTTAGATGCGAGACCACCATGTGTCTCCTTCTCATGCAAAGTTATCCACTGTACCTGGGATGAGTGCGATACCTCGATTTGCGCCGGCTGCACTGAGGCGAACTTGACAACCACGCCCGTGCTCTTGGCTGCTCGGGCGAGTGCCTCAATGCAGAACTGAGGTGGTTCCAAGATCAAGACGGCAAAGCCAGGAGCGGCTTGTGAAGTGATTTTTTGCGCCATTAGTTCTGCGGCGATGGGAAGTAGAACGCACTGGCTGCCGTCGGCGGAATTCAGGGTGAATACTCGACTGTCAGGTACCGCGACAGTGGATGCGTTGTCCTGTGAGAGAGCAACGACAGCCTTGCCGGAAGCAACATCGGTGCCTTGAACAAGATACAGGTATCCCAGGTTGCCGACGCGGATGGACTTGACGAGAGCGAAGCGGACAGATATCTTGACGAGAGAAGGATTCGCCTCGGTGCTGCTGCACTCCAAATACGCATCCCCATTCGTCCTGCATAAGCTCACAGGGCAGTTGCTCAAATCAACGTCGGCCAAAATAGGCCGCCTCGTCGAGTTGAGCCGGTCGTTTCTTGCCATGTCGTGCTTCAGGCGAGGGACCATAAGTCGGCCCTGTGACAGGTAAATCTCGGGCTCTTGAGTCCATACCAAGCGGTCTTCTTGCCAGTTTGCCCCATACTCGAGACGAAGCAGTTGTTCGGCCAGGAGGTCAATTCCGAGGCTGTCGAGGCGATCTACATCGAGGACCTGGGTGGAGACGTCGGGATGTTCGAGGCGCACTGAGCGAAGTAGGCCGATAACCATGGCCTGGTAAGGGTGTTCAACCCAGGCATTCTCCGTGACCCAAAGAACATGGGCGGCATAATAGAAGATGGATTTGATAGCTTCGAACTTGTCCTCGTCCAGACCGACAAATAACGCATCGTCCAATTCGGAAAGAATTAGGAATGAGGACTTGGGCTCCAGGTCAGTCTCATGAATGTCTTGCATTCGCTTGACAAGGTTGAACCGGCGATGAGGCAGCATCTGCTGCAGCCCACCAATAACGTTATCCATCCAAGGAGAGTTGCCGCCAATGATCACAATTGCAGGATGCGTGCTCTCTGTCAGTACAGAGAGCGGGCTGTCAAGTCTAGATATGTGGTTGTTGATGGCGTGCGTACTGAAGCACGAGTTGGGAAACAGCGCGGCATCGCGATCAAGAGTACGGGAATCGATACCCGAGAATCCAGTCTGCTTAAGAACCTCGTCCCACTTCTCGAAGCTCACAAACGGTTCCCAAATACGGCCTTCGTCTTGGCCTGCCCACCAGTCTGGGAACAGGCCGAAGATAAAACCAAGACGAGCGTGCTCGCGATGCGTGAGCTCCATCACAACAACGTGGCCGCCGGGTTTGAGGAGCTTCCTGACGTTTGCCATAGATTCCTGGAGATTTGGCGTGGCGTGCAAGATGTTGGAAGCAACGATCAGATCGTATTGGTGCGGCTTGAAGCCCTGCTCCTCGGGACTCTGGCGGATATCCAGCGTGCGGAAGTCCATACGATCCTCGTGTTGAGCAAATGTTTCACGCGCCTTGTCGAGGAAGCTCGAAGAGATGTCGGTGAAGGTGTAGGTGTCGAACGCGAGCTGCGGCGAGCCCAGAACGTGCTTAGTTGCGCCGCCGGTACCAGCACCAATCTCGAGAATATTCATGTTCTGATGGCGGTGGGCAATCTGAGACACTAGGTCCTGGAAGTATAATAGAGAAGGGCCGAAACTGCGGGGGTTGGTGTAGAATTCGGCAAGGAGGCCATCGTGTTCCATCAGTTGGAAGGGGTTGCGGGTACCGTGAATAATGATGTCAGTGAGGTTTTCGCCTACTCGTTGGATCAAACGGAGATGCGGATGATGAGGGTACCTGAGATAAATAATCAGCATTCATAAATCATTGAAAAGGCTTCGGAATGATTCTTATAAGGGGTTTCAAGGGGTTGGGATATGTGGCTCACGTACTTCTCGCATTTTTTTGTAATGTCATCGTGAGCGTCGGTCTCCCATGACGCATCATACCATGAATGGAGGCGCCCATCTCTCGTTTCAACTAGGATATGCTCGAACCACTTGATCTGTTGTTGATGATAGGGAGCGGCATGGAGTGTGTCGTCCTCGGTAATCTGTTGCAAGAAAGTCCTGGCGTAGAAGAAGACGGCGCGCTCCATTAGAGGCATGATGATCTTGTCATCCTCCGTTGCCCAGTGCCGCTCATCATCCAAAAGCTTCTCGGGGACAAGCGGACCCCAGACCCATTTTGAGAACATACGGTGGTCGTCGGCAGCAGACGGGGGCGTGAAGGGCTTGAACACAATGCCATCAACCTGAAACAGGGTGGCTCTTTCCTGGCTGAGTGTATCGCTGGCCGGCACGAATACTTCAATATCACCTCCAATGGCTTCACTAGTAGACGTCCGTACCGATGAGTTGAAGGAGACACTTCCAAGACTCTTATTGTACAGTGAAGCACATAAAGATGGCACGACAGCGACGCGCTCAATACTAGTGGGTACGTGAAGCGACCTTAGTCGCTTATCTCCTGGCGATGAATATGCGCCAATAACTGTCTGAAAAGACAAATCCAGTGTCGCCGGGTGCAGAACAACGGAACGGTCACCGTCGAGGCATTTTGGGAAGCCCATGGTACCGGTTGTCTTACCGTCAACGCGCTTCATGTTGAGAATGTCGCGGAACTCCTTGGAGTACTGGTAACCGATGCTCGCGAGTTCCTTGTAGAATGTATCGAGATTGATCTTGTTCATGTGCGGCGGCTCCTCCTGTGCAGGAGGCAAGGCCTGTCCAGATGGATTGGCGGGAGCAAATGTAACGACAATCTGGCCCCTGGCTGAAGAGGAGAGACTGTTCTCCTTAGCTAGGCAAGAATCGATGTTGAAGTTGAGCACGATTCGACTAGAGTTGGAAGTCTCGGACGTGACAATGTCTGTCTTGAGAGAAAGTTCCACTGAACTGTTTTCGTCTTCGAAAGTGATGGCCTTGTCGATGCTCAACTGTAGTACCTCCAGCAGTTGCACTTCGCGACCTGAGGCAACATGAAGGGCAGCTTCCATGGCCATGATTACGTACCCCGCACCTGGGAAAACCGTTTGCCCTTGCAGTCCATGGCCGTCGAGCCACTCAATGTCTCGTGGCCTGATGAAGTTGTTCCAAAAAAGTGACGATGAAGTACTGTCGGCTGACAATTTGCCCAGTAGAAAGTGTGGTCTGTCGCCGTGAAGGAAGGCCTTTGCGCGACGCGACACCGCCCAGTATGACCGCGAGTGGTCCCATGGGTACCGCGGGAGCTCTTTTGCCAAACTTCTGTCCACCCCCCTTGGCGAGACCTTGGTGATGAACCCCGGAACATCTAAGCAACCCGAGCCGAACAGCTCCCAGAGATGGCCTAGAGCTCCCGCAAAAGCGTCGACGTCGTCGCCCCCGCGTTGCATGCATCCCGTGTATGGAAGCTTGATGCCTGCGCTCGCTTGCATGGTTGAGAGGGCAGGCCCCTTCAGGGCTGGATGTGGGCCGACTTCAATGGCGACATCGAGTTGAGCAGTGTTTTCATCCATGGCGCGCGTGAGTGCTTGCGAGAAGAGGACCGGCGAGGTCAGGTTATCTTTCCAGTAGTCACTGACAGCGTCACTAGCAGTCATGACTTTGCCCCCATGGACGGACGAATACCAGACAGGGGAGGAAGAAGATGGCGTATCTTCGATGAGTGCCGAATAGCCGCATGCTTCCATGGCCTGTGAGTAATGAGAGGCACAGGGGATCATGTGGTGTGAGTGATAAGCCTTGTCCACCTTAAGTAAACGCGCAAACTTGGACTCGTCCTCGAAGACCTCCCGCATCTCTTGGATGGCATCCTCGTCGCCTGAGAGGGTCACACTATCCGGAGAGTTACTTGCGGCGACGCAGATACGGCCCTGGAATGTGTCGAGGGCACAAAGTTCTAGGGCGTCCGTGTAAGAAGTGCCTGCGGCGAGCATGGCACCCTTGGCTCCAGTAGGTGATGCGGCAAACGCGGTTGTCACGACGCCGCGCAGGTGCGCGATGCGTATTGCCTGGGTAGCAGTGATGAAACCTGCAGCATATGCGCACGCGATCTCGCCAGAGCTGTGGCCCACGACGGCTTTGAAGTTGATGCCAGCGGCAGCGAGTAGCCGGATGAGCATGATCTGTACTGCGGTGCACAGGGGCTGAGAGAAAGCCGCGTTCATGACGTTGGACTCGGAATTTTCACGCATCATCTCGTCGTAAAGCGTCCAGCTTGGTCTGTACTCCTGCGGAAGACTCCTCAATGACTCGTCTAGCTCCGCGATGATCGCCCTGGCAAGTGGGATCTCGGACACCAACTGCTTGCCCATAGAAGGCCACTGTGCTCCCTGGCCAGTGAAGATGCCGAGGATGCTGGGATTACTTCTAAGATCTGAGGTCGCCACCGTTAGACCTTCTCTGGCGTTGATACTGGCAATTTCCCTCTCAAGGGCAATGCATGCTGTCTCTGGGGTGTGGGCGCCGACAATGGCGCGGCGCACGTTGAGCACGGAGCGGTTGTGTAACTGGGTCCAGGTTACGTCCCGCATCTCAACACCTGGGTTTTCTTTGAGGAACTGGATGAGGCCTTCCATGGAGGCCTTCAATGAACGCTCTGACTTGGCGGAAAGTACAAGCGGAGTGGCGCATAGTGCTGCGGAGCTGCTCTTCTGACCTTCCTGGAGCGCGCGGCCGGGAATTTCTGCGGGTGAATAGTTCTCGATAATGGCGTGTGCATTTGTGCCGCCAAAGCCTAATGCAGCACATCACTAAGTTAGCCATATTCAGGTAACAGCACCCCTGAGTCGGCCATAATTCCTCGCCAACATGTTAAAGCTTCCACGTACCAAATGAGTTGACACTTGCTCGCCTTGGCTGGCCTGGAGCTAGAGCGGGCCATGGCTGTGCCTCTTTGATAATACGCAAGTCCTGATAGTAAGGTGCAACGCGAGGACTGAGATTCTCGAACAGCAGGTTCGGGGGTATGACGCCGTGCTGCACGGCCAGGGATGCTTTCATCAAGCCTGCAATACCAGCCGTTCCCTCGGTGTGCCCGATGACAGTCTTGACGCTGCCAACGTACAGCGGGTCTTCGTCGGTCGTGCGCTGTCTGTGGCCGAAAAAGGCTGTTGATATGGCTTCGGCCTCCTGCGGGTCACCGGCCGGTGTTCCAGTTCCTACAATACAGAAAATTCATCAAGTAAGTACGAGAGGTTTCAACTCCTCAAGGTATTACCATCGGATGGCAATCCTATAATGTGGAGTGGGGAACAAGAACTCCTTACCATGCGCCTCGAAGAACTGACAACGGTCGGTGGGGTTCTCGAGATTGAGACCTGCCCTTTTGTACGTCTCACGAATGAGAGCTGATTGCGCTGCGTTGTTTGGCATCGTAATACCTGGCGTGCGGCCATCCTGATTGACGCCTGTCTCGCGTATGATGCATTCGATTTGGTCACCGTCTGCGAGCGCTTGGCTTAGCGTCTTGAGAACAACACAGGCGACACCTTCCTATGGGTACGAGATAAATCAAAAGAGTCAGCGTTTGAAGAATTATTAAACAGATGAAGACTGTCTTGAAAGTATAAGGGGTGCAGAGATGCACATATTCGTCGACTTACACCTCGTGCGTAGCCATCAGCTGCCGCATCCCACATGCGAGACCGACCAGTTGGAGAAAGCATGTTCAACTTGCTTTCCAAGACATAAGGCACTACAAGAGCCATGTAAGTCACAGATTCCTATCCATGTATCAACATAAGGAGTGTATTGATAGACGTACTGGGATCGAGGATCAAGTTGGCGCCAGCCGCCACAGCGATTTTACTCGAACCACTTCTCAACTGTTGTACGGCAAGATGAACAGCAACCAGTGATGATGAACATGCTGTATCCAAAGTCATCTAGTAACGTGGTCCGAGTCAGTATAATTATAAGCAAGAAACACAAATGTTGTTATTGTGGTTGTCAAACAACTTGTAGTACTGCATCTTCCAACTTACACTTGGCCCATGCCAGTCAAAAAAGTATGACACCCGATTAGATGCAATACACAACGAAATGCCAGTCGCAGTGTGCGTCGGAACGTTGTTCAAGTCACGCGTGATGTTCGTTTCAAAGTCATGCGTCATCACGCCAACGTAGACGGCTGTGGAACTGCCTGCGAGGTTCTCTACTCTCAACCCCGCCGAAGCAATGCCCTCGTATACCGTCTCCAGGAGCAACCGCTGCTGCGGGTCGATAGCCTCAGCTTCGTGTGGCTGGATATTGAAAAAAGATGGGTCAAAGGCGTGCGTGTTGGCGGACAGAGTATACGCATGCACCGCATTGGTCCGCCCCTGGTGCGTCCCGTCTGGATGGTAGAAGGACTCAATATTGAAGCGGTCTTTGGGAATCTGGCGCTGGAGATCCGTAGGCGCCTTGAGTTCGTCCCATAACTTGGATGGCGTGTTGATACCGCCAGGGAAGCGGCATCCGGACCCAATCACGGCTATGGGCTCATTTGGTATTGTAGGGGGTACCATGTTGTAGTGAGGGCGGAGATAGTAGAGGGAAAAAGGCAATCGTGCAAATGAGACCCTGAAGCTTTGGATGAAATGATTGGCCTCGTACTGCTATGACTCTGGGATGTTGGATGAGAGGCAAGTGCGGTGTTATCTCAGCATAAATTTAGAAGACCGTGCCACCATTTTTTATGTATCTCACGTAAATACTGTCTGTAGGAGGATCCGTTGTTTCCAGATCGATGGACGCCGAAATGGTTTACGTCGCAGGTTTCGGGCTGAATATCGAAACAGTTCTCCTGGAGCTATCCACAAAGGGGTCGGCAATTCGGTGTTAGTCCAAATCCTTCGCCTAGAGGGCCATCAGAAGCCTACATGTGCAACCAAGTGAAGACGAACAGCGGCTAACATTGCGCGGGCTGGTAGTTCCGTCAAGAAAAAGTTTGGGGCAATGCATTCGGTGCGAACTTTGACCCACTAAGTTCGGCGGGGCCGTATACAGAGTTCGCGTGCATGAAAATCGCCGTATAAACCCGTACCATATTCGGCGTGCTTCGGTGTTCACCACATACCGTAGCCTTCAATGCACAACATATGAATCCAACAGGATAGAAACGGTGCGTTTTACCGCAAATCTCCTGATGAAATCAGAACCATACAAGTGAATAACCGGTTGTCCTTAAATTCCACCAACTTCGCAACTTTGTGAACACAGTTTCAGTCCTAGACATCCTCACCTGCAGAGAGATACTGAGTCGCGTGACGATGAGTACTGTAGGAATCGTCGACAGTGTTCGGGCACAACTAGACCCGGTTGTGCCCACCAGACCTCTGCCCTATCTCGCCACAGTCTTCCTCTTCATCATCCTCGTTTATTCTCGCCTGGGCCGAAAGTCCAATCTTCCTTTTCTCAACCCCAAGGGAGCTTTTGATCTCACGGGCAACCAGATTAAGAAGGAATTTGACACGGAATGCAAGGGAATGCTGTCAGCTTGGTTCGTTGCGAATCCAGACAAGGCCGTCCGTCTTAACTGCGACACTGGTACTGCAACTGTTCTGCCCCCAAAGTTCGCCGTCGAGGTCTCCAACGACCGCGGATTTGACCTTTTCGAATTTCTCAAAGATGTATGTTGTATAATCGCGGTGGGCTCGAAGTCTCACGCGACGCGTGTGCTAACCAACTCTACTCTAGGCCTATCATGTCGGCCTCCCTGGCTTCGATGGTTTCAAGGAAGTTTGTCAACCGGCACATTTAGTGAACAGCGTTATCCAGAAGGACCTTACCAAGGCGTTGCCCAAGCTCACAAAACCTGCCTCGGAAGAAGCCGGTGCGGCCATTGATAGAATTTTCACAGATAAGAAGGGTATGATTATCGTTGAGGGAATCGTCATTTATTCCTCTCCCAGAAAACATTTGTGTACGTCACAAATGGCGACAACTGCTGATAATGTCCCCAGATTTTCACCCCATCCCCCTTGGAGACGCCATTCTGCAAGTCATCACCTGCACTACTTCGCGCGTGTTTCTCGGTGAGAAGATATGTCGAAACGAGGAATGGCTCAAGACTGCCAAGGCCCACGCCGCAGGCGTCTTCACCGCTGGCTACGAGCTGCGTTTATGGCCCGCACCCATCCGCCCCATAGTCCACTGGTTCCTGCCCAAGTGCCGTGAGGCACGCGCGCAGGTAGACAGAGCTCGCGACATCATTATGCCCGTTGTGATAGAGCGGCGCGTCGAGAAGGCCCAACTAGAGGCGTGTGGAAAGTCCGCGCCCGAGTATAACGATGCCATTGGCTGGTTCGAGCGGGCGACCAACGGCAATAACTACGATCCTATCGGCGCCCAGTTGGCGCTCTCCTTCTCGTCCATTTACACGACTACCGACATGGTCTGTCAAGTCCTTATCAACATCGCGCAGCACCCTGAGATTCTGGAGCCGCTTCGCGAGGAGATACGTACCGCCATAGGTCAGAACGGGTGGCAGAGCAACTCGCTGTTTAACATGAAACTGCTTGACAGTGTCATGAAAGAAACACAGCGCCTGAAGCCCATCGAAAGTGGTAAGCCATACGCCCATTGTTCTTTTCATTGCGACCGCCACTGATAGGACTTTGAAACAGCGCTTATGCGCAGCCTAGCTGTCACTGACGTAAAGCTGAGCGACGGGACAGTGGTGCCCAAGGGCGACGTGGTAGCCGTCGCCTCGCACCAAATGTGGGATCCCGAGACGTACCCCGACCCTGAAAAGTTCGATCCTTACCGCTTCTACCGCATGCGTCAAGAGCCTGGCAAGGAGGCCACCGCGCAGGTGGCTAACACAAGTGTCGATCAGTACGGCTTCGGGCTCGGTCGACGAGCTTGCCCGGGCCGCTTCTTCGCGACCAACTCTGCAAAGATTGTTTTGACTCACATCTTGATGAAGTACGACTGGAAGTTGCAAGACGGATTCCTGCCAAAGCCCGTGTATCGTGCTTTCGGAGTCCGATTTGACCCCGGCACAGTTCTCGAGGCGAGAAGACGCGAGGTGGAATTTCAAGTTTAGACGGGCTGTGTGGTTATCTCAATGGGCGTGTCCACTACGTTACTAGTGCTATTGACCGCGCCCCTGTTACTCACAGCTCTATAATTTTACGAGTTCCCCCACATTTTGCTGTTTTCCTCGTTTGCTGTTTCGCAACAATTGCAACAGACTCTCATTGTAGTAGATCTTAGACAAATATGATGGGTGCAATGGTGTGGCCCATATTGATGGGATCAATATATTTGATCCATCAACCAGTCTATTTGTTCACAAGCATGTGCGTGTATGCAAATGTGAACAGATAAAAGCGTTGGCTGTGGACCGAATGAAGAAAGGGACGGCAATGGCGAGCATCAGTTCTGGATTCCTAGTAGTTCTATCACACATATTTGATTTTCTTCCATAATGTGCACCTGAACTACGATACCGACTGCAATCATTGAGTCATCTCACGTATTCGAGCATTATAGCCTTAATTCGAGAATAATCTATTGACTGTCACTTGAGGCAAGCTACATCCCACCAGAGGCTAGTTGTTAAATGAAATTATTTCTCAATCAATTAATACACATTACACTCTATCAAGTGTCGATTGAGCTTGGCTTCCATGTTCTTGCATTGGCTTCAAGTGGTTGTCACCAAAACCATATTGTATGGGGCGGCTTAAATTAGTCTCACTGGGCTTTATATGACCTCAGTTGCGACAGGTCTGACAGGTTGGCCGAGAGTGGCACTTGGCACTAAATACCCTTCACCTTGGAATCTCGACATATGATTTGCGTAAATCACCAACTTTTTTCTACCAACGAGCTACCTGCATTTTTCGGCGTTACACTGCATACAAAGTTCGGCGTTATTCGGCACGTAATATGCGGCGTTATACGGCGTGCTACTGTTGACCCTGGGAACAACGGTGCCGAGATATCCGTGATACTGCGGGTGTGCTGGGGTATTCAGAGCCATCGTCTAAGAAAGATTTCTGATCTAACCGTACCGACAGGGGCGTTTCCATGACCAATACATAGCCACGATATCCAGACCACGGACTCCTCCTCGTGTGGGCATTTATGAAAGGCTATGCACCTTCTCATCCGCCCAACGGGGACCGCTGTGCATTTGAAAGCTGTCAATCTACAGGGATCGCGAGTGAATCACGGCAATTAAGCGGTCGAGGAATTTGCAAACACAGAAGCAGTTCGGATTGGACCCACCCTCTTTTCCAAAAACTTGCCGTTATGCGTGCTGTCCCGTAGGAGAACCAGCCGTAAATCGCCCATCAACAAAGCTGGAGGATTCTACTTCCAATCTATCTTCCTATTCTCCAAAGTTCTGGGTGGCAGATGACGCCCTCTCTGTCCTTGATTGTTTTCCTGTCTGCCTTTCAAAACCCCAAATCGACGGTTTCCGTAGGAAACTCCACGCCATGAACAGCTCGGGTGCCTACGCCCGGAGGGGAAAGTCCTTTCAGAATTCCAACGCGTCGTGGCTGAACAAAAAGGTCACTCCCTTCCTGCAGCTGCTGCCTCGGTTGACGTCTGTCCATCCAATCCCAGTGGTAACCTTTGTGGCCCTCCTGGCGAGCTTTACCTACATTGTCCTTCTCGAAGACACCCTGAGCAGCGGTGCTGATGGATTTGCTGTCAACAGCACGCAGACAGACTGGTCGTCCCTGACACGAGGAAGTCTGCGGCTCCAGGCGGCTCCAGACTCGAATTGGACGTGGCGTGGCGACGATTCCGAGCTTCCCTCTCCTGAAATCAATCATCTTGCACTCCTAACCCTCGATTTCTCTGGTTCCGTTCCTGCGAATGCGGCATCCATCTCCGACATCCAGAGGGAAATCGCCGCCTCCGTGACGCCACTACTACCCAGCTCCCATTCATCCATCATCGACGCGCAGGACACGACGCTGTCTTTCTCTGTTCCGTACCACCAAGCGCCCGGGCTTCTCGCCGCTCTATGGGAGATACGAACTGGCAGAAATAAAATCACGGGCACAGGAAATGGCGGGCTTGGGGAGAAAACTTGGGCCATGAGTGTCGCGGGGTCACATAACCAGGGCACCGGCCGCAGCACCACTCGCGTCAGTGTTACGGAATGGGTTCACAACGCTTATTACGAGTTCATGGACATCCTTAAGTCCACCCAGGCCCTCGATATTGTTTTCATGGCTCTCGGGTACATATCAATGATCCTGACGTTCGCATCCCTCTTTCTTTCAATGAGGAGCCTGGGTTCCAAATGGTCGATAGCTGCAAGCGTTTTGATCTCGTCGTTTTTCGCCTTCCTTTTCGGCCTCCTTGTCACCACCAAACTCTTCAACACTCCAATCACCGTGCGTCTCCTCTCCGAAGGCCTGCCATTTCTCGTCGTTCTCGTCGGCTTTGAGAAAAACATCCTGCTCACGCAGTCCGTCCTATCGCACGCAATCGAGCATAAACAGTCTAGAGGACCTTCAAACGAGGCCCAATATGCTATCGAGACTTCCATAAAAGAGAGAGGGTTCCAGATCGTACGGGACTACGCTCTAGAAATCCTAGTGCTGACTGCGGGCGCGTTTTCCAACATCCAGGGGGGCCTCCAGGAGTTTTGTTTCCTCGCAGGGTGGATTCTGTGCTTTGACTGCATTCTTCTCTTCCTCTTCTATGCTCCGATTCTCTGCATCAAGCTGGAAATAAACCGCATCAAGCGCCACATCGACATCCGAAGTGCTCTCGAGGATGATGGAATCAGTCACCGAGTCGCCGAGAATGTTGCGCGCAGCAGCGACCCAGGAGCCTTTACCATCTTTGGACGACAAATCAGCAGCATACGAAATATTCCCAATCTCAAGATTCTCTTGGCAGGATGTTTTGTACTGGTCAACCTTGCCAACCTGGCTTACATGGCATCCATTGATGGCACAAGCTCCCTGTTAACCAGCTTGCCTCTGTGGTCCCATAGTCTGGGCAGCAGCGTCAGCACACACCTATCTGTTGATCCTTTCAAGGTTGCTCCTAATGGGTTAGATTTCCTCCTGAACGCAGCGAAGTTGAGCGACCAGGGGTTGGCCGTCACTGTGCTGAGGCCTATAAAGTACGAACTGACGTACAATTTTGATCAACCCGGCTCCGGTCAGCCTGGCGCCAATCTCAGCGGCGTTGATCTTCACAATGCTGGCAGAATCGTGGCCGGTAGTCTACTCAGCAGCCTTGAGGATCCTGTACTTCACAAGTGGATTATAGGCGCGCTCTCCCTCAGTATCGCTTTCAACGTCTACCTCTTCAACGCTGCAAGATGGGGCATCAAGGACGACCCAATTGCGGACAATGAGACCTCTCTCGATGATGTTGCCCCTCGAGCTGAAAAAACAAGATCCAGCGATGATTTTGCATCAGCTCTCACTCCTACTGAAACGGAAGACGAATCGGAGTTGCCCATGGAGCCTGCAGAGTCCAGTGCTGCAGGGCAAGCACTGCTTACAGCTCCCAATGAGAATATGCAGGCAACGCAACGCACGGAAAAGGAAATGGTTGATATGCATCGGGCCAAGCGTACACACGAGCTTAGCGATGACGAGGTCGCGGCGCTGTCGCTGCAGGGGATGATCCCGGGCTACGCCCTGGAGAAGACTCTGAACTTCGATTTCCGCCGCGCAGTCAAAGTCCGCCGAAACATTATTTCCCAGACCAAGGTAGCCGCAAACCTCACCTACCTGCTCGAGCAATCGAAGCTTCCTTACAAAGACTATGACTGGTCTCAGGTGTTCGGCGCCTGCTGCGAGAATGTCATCGGCTACATGCCGATACCCCTCGGCGTCGCTGGTACGTGTTTTCATTGCTCCTCCCGGTGCAGAATTCGCTCAATCTGATGAAACGAATCTTAGGGCCTCTCATAATTGACGGGAAGAGCTACTTCATCCCCATGGCGACCACCGAAGGCGTCCTTGTTGCCAGTGCCAGCCGCGGCGCTAAAGCCATCAATGCAGGCGGCGGTGCCGTGACGGTGTTGACCTCTGATGGCATGACGCGTGGACCATGTGTGGGCTTCAAATCTCTCGAGCGTGCCGGTTCAGCGAAATCTTGGCTCGACTCTGAAGACGGCCAAACGACAATGAAGAAGGCATTCAACTCGACGAGTCGGTTTGCCCGCCTCCAGGAGATGGACTCGGTACTTGCGGGCACAAATCTCTTTATTCGCTTCAAAGCATCAACGGCCGATGCTATGGGCATGAACATGATTTCAAAGGGTGTTGAGAAGGCACTCTCTGTGATGAAGGACACGGCTTTTGAGGATATGGATATTGTGACGCTTACGGGTAACTACTGCACAGATAAAAAGGCATCGGCGATAAATTGGATCCGGGGCCGGGGGAAGAGTGTCGTGGCGGAGGCGGTCATTCCCAGCGGTGTTATCAAGGCCGTCCTCAAGACGGATATTGACTCATTGGTAGATGTTTTTGTCAACAAGAACATGATCGGATCCGCCATGGCAGGTTCTATCGGAGGCTTTAACGCACAGGCGGCGAACATTGTTGCTGCCATTTTTATTGCGACGGGCCAAGACCCAGCACAGGTGGTGGAGAGTGCAAACTGCATTACCATTATGAAGAGGTATTTTGTTTTCAGGTTCATTTATCTAGTGGTGGATCGCCTGTATACTGACTCGAATGGACAGAATGGGCGACTGTCTGCATATCTCTGTGTCGATGCCTTCAATCGAAGTAGGAACCCTTGGAGGGGGTACAAGTATGTGCCCAGTTTCCCTTTTCTCCCAGTCATACAAATATGACAATATCTCTCCCCTACTCTATTTTATTTTTATTTTTGACTGCAAGAGCTCTAACTTTTGTTCCAATCCAGTCTTAGAGTCCCAGGGTGCCGTCCTCGACCTTCTCGGCGTCCGCGGCCCGCACCACACTCAACCGGGAGCGAATGCTCGTCACCTGGCTCGCATCATCGCCGCAGCCACGCTGGCGGGTGAGTTGTCTCTATGCAGCGCCTTGGCAGCCGGCCACCTCGTGAGGGCCCATATGCAGCACAACCGTTCTGCCGCTCCCACGAGAACAAACACCCCAGCTCCGGCGTCTGGTCTGACCCCCCGAGGCTGAGGAGTAAAGATATTACTTTCCTCTGGGCGAGAAATCTGAGGCTATTCAGTACACTTTAAGCCCTTCATGCCGTGTTCGGGACCGTTTCTGATTCCTCTAGAGACTAGAAGTACAAGCGCAATACGTTGCAAGAAAGAAGTGCCTTCAGAAGAGATGGGGGCAGTCGACGTAATATATGGTGGCAAAGGCCCCTGCAAAACATATAGCACTAAGATCGGCTGCGAAAACTTTCCATTTTCTACTTGAAGCAACGAAGTAAGAGGCATGTGATATTACTGTGATGGTGTAACTGCACGCCCATATGTTGTAGCTAAGCACTGGCGAAATATCCCGGCGAATAAACAAACACAGGCCTGAGCACTACCATACCGGAAATAGTCTGTTTTCTACTGCTATACCAAGACTGCCCAGCTTTCCATGTGGCATTCCGCCATCACTATGTGCAGATACTCCTATCAACATCACATTTTATCCTTCAGCTGCTCGTACATGGCTCGCTCGAATAGCCGACCAAGCTCAACACATTTCTTGTCAGCCCAGGGTATAAGCTGGAACGCAATGAGGATGCACAGCCCAGCAGCAGGATCAATGCACTGCATCACTCGTCAGCAAAAGCTCTTACATACGATGAAGAATCCGGAACTCAATGCTTACCCAATACAGGTTTGGAAACCCGCCCCAGCCCATCGATCCCTTTTGCCTCCAATCTCCGCCGTCACAGTCTTCCAAGATCAGCAAGCCGCCCAACCCGTGGCTCCTCTTAATGCCCACTTGTGGCAGGAGGCCCCCATGGTTTGTCTCCTGGCGGGCGTCGAGCTCGTCGTTAAGAGACTGTTCGCACTCGTCATCGAGCTGCGGCCGTAACATGGCTTCAACTGTATCTGCCGACAAAAGTTTGCCGTCTTTCGCTAGGAGCGACTGCAAAAACGCCATAAAGGCCGCCGGGCTTGCGAAGATGCCCATTCCCCCGAAACAATCCTCCGGGTCGGATTGGTAGTAGCTCGCTTCCTCAATCCGGGGTACACCCTCCTCGTCGCGCTTGCTCATATCCGCCCGGCGGGCCATCATGCCCGGACGCTCCTGTAGCTTGAAGGTCATGTCGGTGACGCCCAACGGCGCGCAAATATTGTCCTGCATGTACTGCTCCAAGGTCATGCCGGTGGCGCGCTCGATGAGTTTCCCTGTCCATTCGAGGTTGGGGCCGTAGGACCACCGCCTCCCTGGGTCGTGTATCAGCGGGTACTTGAAGCGTTCTGCGATTCTTCCCGCGTTCGGTTGCGCAATGAGACCAAGATCGCGGTATCGTATCAGATTCGGGTCTTCTACGACGTAGCTGATGCCCGAAGTGTGGGTTAAGAGGTGCCTGCAGCTAAATGAGCTTGCGATGATTTACTTTCAGCACGGCACTGTACCTCAGAGTAACAGCGCATTCCGCGTCTCTCAAATTTGGCTGCGAATCTTTCTCAAAACCGTCCAAAACCTTCATCTCCCCTACTTCTGGCAAAAGGTCGGCAACGTCCCCGTCCAGACAGAGGATTCCGCGCTCGACACACTGCATGGCCATTACCGCAGTAATGATTTTCGAGGCGCTTGCGAGACGCATCGGCGTATCCACCGTCATTGTAGGTGTCGTAGTAGGCTCGGTTCCGGTCCGGGGAGTCCTGGTTCCGTAGCAACGGGTATAATTGAGTTTCGTACCTACAAAGTCAGACAACTCGATGCCAAGCGCCTTCTGCAGGCCATCCAATTTGGCGCGCCGATAATGGCATGCTCACCCGACTTGTCTTTGGCCATCAGCACGACGCCAGGGATCTGGCCCGAGTTGATGGTCGACTCAAATTCCATTTCGATTTCCTTCTGCATTGTGGCGAATCATGCATATGGATGATGAATTCGTATTGCAATGTTTGATTGGGCGAGGTCGAGATGCAGCCATGTGCTGTATTTGTGCCATGGTGGCGGTAGGACGAACAGACTTGCCTACGGAAGTATCGCGACTTAATCAACCTTCTTGGGTGTCATCAAATAGATGAGGTGCAAAATTTTGGAGAAAGCGAAGGAAAACGGCAAGATGACATGGATGGAGCAAACGCCGACGCCGACGCCGAATGCTTCGGTAATTCTTCGCTCACCAACCTGCAAATAGGGCGGCGGGGTTACGGATACATAGTGAATGGTATAGTTTCCGCCGGCGGAAGGCGTGGGGGTAAGGGGGTATGCATATTGAAACGTCCGAACATATCTTGTTCCACTCGACGGTATTATTGAAGCAGATGGCAGCTTCGGGGGAGCTTTCCACCAATTCTGTATCTATCCAATCTCATAATATGACAAATGGTGCTTGTAAAGGCGAACAATGTCTACATAGCAACGTCGCAGCAGCGTCAACGTCTTCTCAGAACCGACTCCGTGACCGGCCGGATTAGACCCGAATCGCGTCGCAGCCCCTTGCTCATCCCACAGCACCACGACCAGCCGAGCCACGCACGATAAATCAATGTACATGGAGGGGCCCGGCGAGCCAGCGGCATGACCCGAAGCGCACCGAGCTTTGGTGTCATAGGGCAAGCCTCCGATCGGCAACCCCTTCGCAGCAACGCCATGCTCCTGCGGCAGCCCAATCACCAACTCGATCTCCCGCAACAACCTAACACCCGTCCGCAACGTCGCACAGGCAGAGGACAGGGCGTGCGCCAAAGGGTCGAGCTGGGGGGCCGACTCGCCTATTTGGAAATCCTCGTCGACGCTACTGGAGCCATTGTTGCTACTGTCACTGCTGCTGGGGCCCAAGCCGGTGCTCACAATTGATCGCGTTGCAGTCTCAAGCTCGACGTCTCTGCCCGAGGTTGATGGTTGCGTAAACGGACCTGACTGTAGCTCGTGCCCTTGGCCGTTCTGCATTGACGATGACGGGCCGGCGGGCTGTAAGGCCAGTTGCAGGGAGGATACGGCTTGCCAAAGCTTCTCGGCAACGGTGCTCATGATGTTGACGCAGAGTATGTAGCATTGCACAACCATCAATGTCGTTTTTGTGCGCAGATGCCCTACCAGGACGGCGGTGCCGCTTCCACTCCGTGCTTTTTGGGACTGCTGGGAACTCACGGGTGGTAGTTCGAAATCAGTGAGTAGCTTCCTGAAGATTCCAAAAACTTGGCCGATGGGATCTGTGCACAGTGAGTGAGCTTTTGATGACCCTGTGCCTGGCGCAAAGTCAGGAGAAGACGTACAATTCTGCATATCCTGCCCATCCCATACCGTAGCAATACTCTCCAGAGTTCTCTCCAGATCCTTTAAGATGCTCGAGAGTTTGTCCAGTATCCGCTGCTGATTGTTTTCGACGGTCCACTCTCTCGAGCCCTGGGGAGATTGAGAACTCGATGATGCCTCCTCCATCTCTAGGTCCCGAGGAAGAGACCCATCGGATACCTGGTGGCTTGTGGTAGTCCAATCCAGCAAGGAGGAGAAGTCATCGTGGAGAATATCAAAAGCGTGGATTGACGAGGTGTCGAGGAACGCACTGTTGAAGCAGACGGGCCCCCGTCCGTTCTGCTGGGCGAGTTGTTCTTGCACCTGCTCCGAGGACGGGATGTTTGAAGAGCCAATGCTTCTATTGCCGCTGTCGCCGCCACCTTTTGGAGCCGTCTGCCGGACGGATCGTGCGCTGTAAACACATCTCTGCCGAGCTCGCCGGCACCGAATACACGCTGCATGCGACCCTGCGTCTCTGGAGCATTTCAGCTTCTGTGAGTGGCAACGATCGCACGACCGCCTCAAAGCGCGTCCTTGGTGGTCTATATTGAAGACAGTCTCGTTTTGGTCGGGAGTGAAGTAGGACCCGCCGGTCGTGGGTGTCAGAGATGCTGACATTTAAGATTTAAGAGCGTCAACTTCGTTGGGGTTCATGAAGGATGTACATAAAGACGCACTGTTGATTGGTTTACTAGTCAAAAAGTCTGTATGCCAAAATACAAGTCACGTCTCTTTTTTGTATTCGGGGCGCACAAGGGCGCCAGGCAAGCGGCTACGCCTGTAAGTGAGGGGAAATTTGGGTGGTAATCATTATGGGGGGTGGAAGGGACTTGTGTTTGCCGCGAATATACATACGCCCCAAAACACTGCGCGGCATACAGCAAACAACATGCGCCGCTAATTAAATTACACTTGAGATAGTAGCACTGGCTTTGCCTTTACCTTTGAGTTTGCAGTTCACCAATAGCCTTAGAGGAGCTGGGGCGTGGCGGTAGAGTGCCAAGATAGATCCCTTGACACCTCTCGTTCTCGCTGCGGACTTGCTGCATTGAGCATCCGCACATCAAATCCAGCGGCTTCAATTCGCAAAAGCCCGCCCCCCGGTGCTGTGTCTGACCTCCATGCTCGTTCCCGTTACCGCACACTGACCGGAACCTGCCCACCAATATGTTGCTCATCACAAACCTGTCACAGCGGTTAGTCCACCGCCCCTTGCCGCCCTTGATTATCCCTTGAAACCCCACCCTGCCCTTGTTGTCCCGCTGTCCCGTCGACCCACGCACGCCGCCCATTTGCCTGGCCCGCTCGCCAGCACAAATCGAGGAAGCGTTTGGTTTAATGACATGCGTGCATGCCAAGGATCTCAAGCCATCAGACCATTCGAACCACAAGTTTTTCCCCAGAGTGGGCTCCGCTCTTGACAATATCCATGCCCTCCAGCACAGCCTCGAGGCCGCCATGCAGGACGCGCAGGGGGTGGTGCTTCAGCTTGCCTTCATCGAGAAGGCCTTGCGTCAGAGCAAACAGCTCGGCTCCGTACCGCCGCATCTCATCACTCGGGGGCCTTCCGTACGGCTCGGGCCACGTCGAACCCTCGCCAAAGATGGAGGGGCCCAGCACCCAATCCATCTTCACAACCTTCCGCGTAGCCGTGTGGGCTGGGACCGGGTCCAGAGACACGTATTTGCCGCCAGCCCTCCCGATGGCCTTGAGGCAAAATGCAGTCGACTCCACCGTCGTGATGCAGTCCAACGCGTACTTGAGATTGCCTTTTGTGGAACCGAGCTGCAGACACATTAGCAACGGACAGGGGCAGGGGGAAGAGGCAAGGGGGGGGGGGGGGGGGGGGGGGGGGGGGGGGGGGGGGGGGGGGGGTGATGAAGAAAAGTGCTGCTGCCTACGATCTTTTCGACGCAGTTTTTGTCACGGTAATCAAAGACCTCTTCTGCGCCGTGCGACTTGACCAAATCGAAGTTCCTAGGGGAGCAGGTTGCAATCGGGATCATGTTCGCCCTATTTGATTGCAGTTGTTAGACAGAGATGTCTGGGAAGAGGCCGAATTGCCGTTCAGCAGCCGCTGTTGACTTACAGCCTCAGCAACTGGATCGCAATCGTCCCCGTCGCAGTACTTCCGCCGTAGATCAACACCTTCTCCGCCTTGTCCACGGGAGTGGTAGGCAGGGGCAGGCCCAAAAGCTTGATTGCGATTCCAGCGGTGCTGACCCCCGCGCCCAGCGTTGCCCCTGCCTCCGTGGCCAAGTCCGCCGGCAGCTTCAGCCAGACGTCACCATTGGACGCGTTCCACTGCCCAAATGCCCCACGGTGCGGCGCAGCTGCGTGCATGGCGTTCTGCGCACCGCAGACGCGGTCTCCTACGGCCAGGCCCTTGACAGCGGATCCGACGGCAACAACGGTGCCGGCATAGTCAGTGCCGAGTATGCCGAAGGGCGTCACGAAGCTGCCCCTCATCTTTGTGTCGCTGGGGTTGATGGCGACGGCCTCGGTGCGGACGTAGATCTGGTCGGGGGCCATGGGCGGACACGGCGCCTCGTCCCAAATCACGACCTGGTCCTGGTCGTTTACAATGACGGCCCGTTGCGTCGCCGGTGGGGTGAAGTCTTGCATTGACATGGTTGTTCGCCTGCTTATGATTGAAAAACGCTCGCGCTTGCTATGCGGTCGAGAATGCAGGCTGACTGCAGCATCCCGTGAAGATAAATATCCTTTCCAAGGAACTGCAGGGACCAGATGCCGCGGGCTATGAGGCCGAAGACCCGCTACTAGAGGCGGTAGGGCATTTTCAAGTTCGGCATGGCTGTCGGGTTCGGAATCGGGAACTCGTTGTGTATCTGCCATTTTGTAAGAGATACGGAAGAAAACCTTGTGGTTTAAGCGCGGGATATGCAGCGCGTACAACTAGTGTCGCCGAATGCCCGGTGTTTCGGAACCATGTGACATAACGCCGTACGCCGACTCTGTTCGGTATCATAACTGAGAGCAGTGAGTTCCCCGGCTAGAGAGGCTAACTTCAAGCCATCTTCCATTCACTGTGATATTGGTGACTCTAGTAATCAAGTACACGGGCTTTCGAGAAATCGCTTTCAGAGCAAACATTATCACCTCCAAATCCACGTACCACATAACTCAGAGAGTTGTGGCATTGACGCTCAAATCCATCAGGTAAACGTTCCAGCGACGCCCCCACGTCTGAGCCCATATTCTAACCCGGGCAGCCTGGGTCATGGCTGCTCAGCAGATGAAGGCTCTCGGGGCCCCTGAAGACCGCGGGCTACCCAAAGCCATACTGTGCATACACGGCGCAGGTTCATCGGGGGACATATTCCGCATTCAGCTCACCAAGATCCGCACGGCGCTCAAACATGAATTCGACTTCGTCTTCGTAAACGGGCCGCACCTCACCTCCCCTGGGCCGGGCGTATTGCCGTGGTTCGAAGGCGCCGGGCCTTACTATTCGTGGTTCAAGGAGGAGGATGCAACCATGGAGCGGCGACTTGAGCAGATCAATGACGCCGTGAAGGATGCCCAAGAGCAATGGGACTCCACCAAGAAAAACCCGCACTCACGCATTGTAGGGGTCATGGCCTTCTCCGAGGGGTCGCTGGCGGCGACTATGCTGCTCTGGCAACAGAGTATGGGCCGCTTACCGTGGCTGTCCACTCTGCACTTCGCGACGCTCATGTGCTGCTACTTTCGGCAGGAGGCCGCTGAGTACATGTGCGCGGATCTGGCGGGTGAGGAAAAGGCGCTGATAAACGTCCCGACGCTGCATGTGCATGGTAAGCGCGATTTCTGCCTGGCCGGCGCGAGGAGGTTGGTCGCAAATCACTACTTGTCTGAGTATGCTCAGGTTATGGAGTTTGATGGCACACATCATGTTCCGATGAAGCGTGAGGACGTCGACAGGGCAGTGAGACTTGTTTTACGTCTTTCTTGCGCTGTCCCCTAAGAGAGCACAAGTCAATGGTTCATAGTTGTCTACACAAATCCACACACATATAAGTTGATTGACCTTTTCATTAAGATCTATGCCAGAAGTTCTCGCTCAGCACTTCTCGTACAACTGCTTCCGAATGGGCATGTACTCCGGCCGGAAGCGTGGAGTAGTGATATTAATAGATGATATATCAAATGCATGATGCCATGTGAGATTTATAGGTTTCAAAGAACCCGTTGGTAACGCCGGGAAAACCACCGTTATTGGTGCCAGGTTGCCATTATAGAAGAAGAAGAATTTCGAAGGTATATCAACAAACTAAATAATGTTATCCGGCCTTAGATTGTTGATTGCAAAAAGTTCCTTGATACGTGGCCCTAATCCCAATGATATTACTAACGCATGCTCAGTCATCCCATCCTCATCTCGGTATGGATCTCTTGAGACACGGACATCGACAAAGTGTTTCAGTCTACCATCCATCCACAAGTACTGTGCCTTTGAAGGCTTTGACAGCATCTCCTCGTTCATGGAATCTGGCGTGAGCGCGTATGGACCAGTCGAAGTCTTGAAATCGGTTGGGTTGTAGGATTTGTTGCTCCAGAATTCCAATATCCAGCCCGCGTCTACTTCTTGAGAAAACCTCGGGGAATTCGCTAATATACCCGACTCACTTGACGGTTTTTCGACAATATCCTTATAGGTAGGTATGTAGCCCCATGGGCGCAATTCTTTGCCGCCCGTTAATCCGACGGCAGCTATGAAAACAAGATACGAATTTGCTGCCATGGAATCCCAAGACGAGTTTTCTTCCGTCAATTCCAATTGAATAGTGAGTGTCGCTATGAACCCGTCCTCACCCTTCGTGATGACAGATCTCTGCACCTGGTTCCATGACATGGGGGGATAAAATCTAACTTCTTGCAGGGCGCAAGGTGAGAAAGCGTTAATATTAAAATTCAGCCGCCCATCACTGGCGACCTGTTAACGTGCCAGGCTCTTCCTTGCACCATGCGAACATCGCTTCTGCTAAGCCCGCTTGTGGAAGGTTTGATTGTAGAATACGCAAATGTCATGCATGCGCAATAAATGATTCGTGCAAGGCAGGGCATTCGTTGTGGCATTCCGCTGTGGCATTTCGTTGTAGCATTTCGTTGTAGGGCATGTCCGTTTCGTTGGTTGTGGCATGGGTTCGACTCGTAAGCACCGGGAGAAACTACGGGCCAGTAAGCAGAGCCTACTCAAGCGGAAAATCGTGCCGCCGATGTGATAGGTGATGATGATGATGATGATGTATTTAACGTCCAGAGTAAAGAGAGATGTGCCGGGCGAGGCCGACATGGTCTATGCTAATCTAAACTATCTTATAGGATACTGTCTTTACTTAAAGTTCCTGTTTAATAGGTCGGGTGGATTTTAGAGAAGAAGTTATTTAACTTTATCTATTCACACAAAAAAGAGGCTCCTTACGTAGAACTTAGTAGAAAATTAATGTTTACTTTTACGATATATTAGTAGAGATGTCTTAACGTAGCTTTCTAGCTATAGTTATAAAAGTAGAACTAAGAATAAGACTCATTATAAGAACTCTTATCTTGTCTAATTATATCCTTATTATCAAATAGATTCTCTCTTCTTAAGAGAACCTGTGTATATAATTATACCTGGGTTAAAGGTTAAGGTAAATTAAAGATATATTTTCTGTAATTATCTTTCTAACTATAAGACTTAGCTTTTACATATAAAATATATAACCTTATATATTCTTAAGTTATATTACGACCTAAATCCGTTTAGTGACTAGTGTAGCCTGAAGCGAACCCCTGGAGCGGCTAATAGGGTAGCTAAACGATTAAGTATATAGGCTAATAGTATAAACCGGGCTTAGAATAGAAGAAGTAAGGAAAGTTATATAATAGATTAGTTAAATTATTAATAATCTAATATAATTCTTTAGTAAGAATTATTAACTAGTAAGACTAATCCTTAACCTAGGATTATAAGTAATAAGAATAATTTAAAAAAATAAATTAAAATATAGTTAAAGATATTTACTTTTAGAAAATAAGAATCTTTTATAGTTCTTTAGTAATTAACTTTATAATTTATTTTTTTATGAATACTTTTAGATTATTTTTTTATTATAAAGCTATAAGCTATTTATACTTAGATATATTTACTTATTTGCTAAATATTAATAAACTAATAAGATTATTAATAAGACTTGTTTTATTATTATTAAATATTAACTTTAGTTATTTATTAATAAAAAATACTATTATTAAATATTTAACTTTAAAACTTTAATTGCATTTATTTAATAAATTAACTTTAATACTTATTAAATAATAAAAGATATTCTTTAAAGCTAGTTACTTTAATTTTATTTTTTAGTAAATTTAAAAAAAAGTAATTATATCCCTTAAAACGATAAGCTTAGACTAAGAAATAAAGGGTATTAAATCCTTTAGTAATAAAAATAATAATATAAAAATAGCTAAATAACTTAAAAAAGCCTATAAAAATATTATGAATATATAATAAATATTTAACAATAATATAATACTTTTTAATTTACTTTAAGTTAAAGTCTAATAAGTTAATAGCCTTAAAGAAAAGGTTTATATTCTCTAAGCTATTACTAATATTATCTTAACCTTAGTAAATAAGTAAAAGAAACTTAAGCTTAACTCTTTTATTACTTATAATAAGTCCCTTAAAATACTTAAGAGATTCTTAATATAAGTTAAGACCTACTAGATATTTTACTTTAATAACTTTTATATAAAAACAAAAAGAATTATTTATATAAATACTTTTTTTAAAGAATAAGTCTTTTCTTAGTTTAAATTTTACTTAAAAACTACTTAAATAATAAAATATTAGAATATTATAGTTAAAAAACATAATAAATCTTTAAAAGCTTTATAAGATTTAAGTATACCTTAAGATCCTTATTTTAGGACCTAAATAAAAAACAGTAAGAATAACAGGGGGTTATTTATAATAGTCACAAGGAAAAGTAGAGAAGAATAAAGGTAGACAGAAAGGGTATATATATATATATTGACCGTTAAGGAATTGTTATACTTCATTGTTCTTAAAAACTGTCTAAGTAGAGGGAATATCTCTTAGTTATATAGAAAGTTCCTTAGATACGTATAGTATCTAAGCGTATATCTAAGCGCTAAGAGGTACTTATATGTTTCTTGTATATATATATATATGCCTATATATACTAGTAGATAGGTATAAGCGCCGGTATATATTATGCTTAGAAGTATATACGTTTATATATAGTAGACTATATTAGTTTGTAGTAGTTTGTATTAGTATAGTTATATATAGTAATATATACTTTTATAAGTTATTTTTTAAGAAGAATCTAGAAAGATTAGTTATATAGTTATAAGATCTTTAGTTATAAAGTTATAAAGAGATTTATATATAAGAATTATAAGAATTTTACTTCTTAATTCTTAGTATAACTATAATAAGACTGTTTATAGCCTTTTTAAGCTATACTTATAAACATTTACTTAAAGAAATGCCTTAGTTAATAAGATTTACTTTTTCTATTAATACTTATACTAAGAATTAAGAAGTAAAATTCTCATAATTCTTATAAATAAATCTCTTTATAACCTTATAACTAAAAGTCCTATAAATATACAGTTATTTTTTCTAGATTCTTCTTGAAAAATAACCTATAAAAGTATATATTACTATACATAACTATACTAATATAAACTACTATAAACTAATGTAGTCTACTATATATAAACGTATATACTTCTAAGTATTATATATATTAGCGCTTATACCTATTTATAGGTATATAGGTATATATATATATATATAAGAAACATATAAGTACCTCTTAGTGCTTAGATATACGCTTAGATATACGCTTAGATACTATACGTATCTAAGGGACTTTCTATATAACTAAGACATATTCTCTCTACTTAGATAGTTTTAAAAGGATAACGAAGTATAACGATACCTTAACGGTTAATACATATATATACCTTTTCTGTCTACCTTATTCTTCTCTACTTTTCCTTGTAACTATTTATAAATAACCCTTTGTTATTCTTACTATATTTACTGCTTAAAATACTAAGGTTAATTACTTTGTTACTAATAGCTTTTCTTAGAGCTATAATACCTTTACTGTAATAGCTAGACCTAATTAAAAGGACTAGATTTAAAAAGCGAATTACTTAGCGTTTATTACTTATTATATTAATTATTTTATTATTTTCTTTATTAACTAAGTTACTAAATAATACTTTTAGTATAATAGTATATAGAGAAATAAAAATATAACTTTTTAGTACGCTATTAATATAAACTATCTCTATATGTTACCCTGCTAATAGACACGAGAGGTCTACCACTATATAAGGTAAACCTCCTACAGGGTTATTAAGGGAATTAACTTCTTTCACCTTTATCTTCTAGATCCTATCTTTAGTAAAGTAGGTTTACTATATTAACTGTAAGGTCTGTTAGACTACAAAATAGATCTAACTACTCCTTTAAAGGACTTACTTTACTAGAGGGGTAATAAGTAGTAGTATAACCTTCTACTTTATTCCTTGGCTCTTATTAAGAAACAAATTCGTTATATAAATCTTGTCTCCTGTTAAGGTAGATAACTAAGAAGTAAACCTTAGCTTAATAAAAGTAATAATATAATAACTTACCTTATATACTATTATACTAACACTAATATTAGGTATAGCTAATAATAAGACCTAAGAGACTAAAGTACTATAGTTAAATCTAGAACCTTATAAATATACTTAAATACCTCTTATTAATTAAGCTAGCTATACTATTACTACTATAATAGTAGTAGTAAGTATTTAGCTAAGTAAATTAAAAAGCAAAATTTTTAAACTAACTTTATACTATAAAGTATAATTAACTTACACTTATATCTAAGATATCTACTATATATAGCGCTTTATTAAATAAAAGCTAAATAAACTATTAGTTTATAG